GCACTACTCAGCGTGCCCGTGCTCAGCAGCCTGCTGCTGCAAGTGGCCCTGGTGGCTGGTGTGCAGCTCGGGGGCTACTTCCTCACCGTGGCCCAGCCGTGGTGAGTAGGGAGCTGGCCAACCCCATCCCACCCAGCCTGTCCACCCCCACCCATTCCCTGACCGCCATCCGTCTGCCCCTAGGTTTGTACCTCTGAATAGGACAATACCTGCACCAGACAACCTGCCCAACTACGAGAACACAGTGGTCTTCTCTCTATCCAGCTTCCAATACCTCATCCTGGCTGTGGCCATGTCCAAGGGGCCGCCCTTTCGCCGGCCGCTCTACACCAACGGTGCTGCAGCGTGGGAGGGGGCCTGGGGCAGGGAGGGAGACAGGGAGAGGGGAAGCAGATGGGACGGCGGGAGGGGTGGCTCTGTGGGTGGAGGGCATGTGTGCATGTATCCCGGGCATGTGGCTCCCTGGCTGACAGACTCCCCTACCCCCAGTGCCCTTCCTGGTGGCCCTGGCACTCTTGAGCTCTGTCCTGGTGGGCCTTATCCTGGTCCCCGGCCTCCTGCAGGGGCCGCTAGCACTGAGGACCATCACCGACACCCACTTCAAGCTGCTCCTGCTGGGCCTGGTCACCTTCAACTTGGTGGGGGCCTTCATGCTGGAGGTGGGGCCCGCCCCAGGCAGTGGCAGTGGGAGGGGTGGGGTCAGCCCGAGCTTCCCCGACACTCCCTCCCTGCCTTCTGCAGAGTGCACTGGACCAGTGCCTCCCAGCCTGCCTGCGCCGCCTGCGACCCAAGCGGGCCTCCAAGAAGCGCTTCAAGCAGCTGGAGCAAGAGCTCGCAGAGCAGCCCTGGCCACTGCTGCCCACTGGCCCTGCGAGGTAGCACCGGCCTGTCTGGCCTTTTAGACACTGGATCTCCCTGCCTCTGAGCCGCCCCCAGACCCCTCCCCAGAGACACCACCTCCCAAAACCCTGAGGTCGGCCTTTGTCACACTCTTGGCCTGAGACTGACCCCCCCCCCCACCTTAGGGAAGTGCTGACTGTCATCCCCACTAGATACCATCCCATGTAGACATGGCAGCCACCAACTCCACTGAGAGCTGCTATTAGTGTAGCAAATAAAGTCATGATATTTTCCTGACTTGGCCATGCCTGTCTCGTTCCTGGTGCCCAGGCTCTCTCTAGTGCCCACTTGGCAGCCCCTGGTCCATGTCTGCTCCTGACACCGCCTGATTTTAGATCACATTGGGCAACTCCCCGCTTGGGCCTTTGTTTCCTCATCTGACAGGAATTTCCTCTGTGAAGCATTTCACACTCATCATTCTGTAGCCCTTCCAACAACTACATCTGTCCCCATTTTGCAGATGAGAAAACTGAGGCTTGCAGATCACACAAGTAGTCCCAAGTGGGGCCAGACCACTTTCCTCCAGCTTTGATAATCTTATTTCTCTGGGGAGAAAGGAGAAGTGGGAGGATGGGAGGGCAGTTCCTTTCTCTTCCTCCTCTCTCCCCCCCACTACCTCCACATTCTGGGACAAGTCTGTGGTCTAGTCCCTCCCTCAGATAAAATCCAGGCTCTGAGCCTAAATCTCCCAGCCAGAAGCATGTGCACCATCCCCTGAGGAAGGGTGGGAGCCTCTGAGCTCATCCCACTAGTGGGCCCCTGGCCACGCCCGTCTGCTCTGAAGATGCAGCTGGTCATTTGGGTAGGGAAGAACAGGAAAGAGACTGCTTCCTGCCCTCCAGAACACCCCTACCCTCACTCCTGGAGCCCTGTTGCTACCTGCAGGACTGTGAGGGGAGCTCAGTAAATGTTGAACCATGCTGGAGAAAAGGGATGTGGGGTGTGGGAAGGTTTGGCATCAGGCATAGTCAGACCTCAGTGCTGGCACTGCATCACCAGCCAGCGACAGTCCAGGGAGGTAGATGCTATTTGAGGGGAGAACACAGAGAGGCCTGGGTTCACATCCCTCCTCTACCCTTAGCCGATTCTTCATGAATCTATTGGGCAGGCATGTGCCGGGGCTAATACTGTAAATAGAAACACACCAGCTAGAGGAAAGAGCACATTTCCAGGGACATAGTAGCAAAAGAGCAACCACACTCACCCAAAGAACTGCCACTTCTCCTTGGGTCCTTAGGGCCAGGAAAGTGGGCAGGAGCAGAAGAGAGGATCTGGGAGCCAGGACACAAATTGGCAGCTTTGAGACCTCAGTTTCTCTTTTTATTGGGAAACTGTAGGGCACAGCATTTCTGCTGGGCAATTTCCTCTTCTCCCAGTAGATTATGCCTCATAGCCACAAAGGGCTAAATAAAGGAAGGTATAGCCCAGCACAGTGGCTCCCATCTGTAATCCTAGCACTCTGGGAGGCCAAGGCAGGAGGATCCCTTGAGTTTAGCAGTTCGAGACCAGCCTGAGCAAGAGCAAGACTCCATCTCTACTAAAACTAGAAAAATTAGGCAGGCATTGTGGTGGGTGGCTGTAGTCCCAACTACTCATAGGCGTAAGCCCAAAATTTTGTGAGCCATGATGCCATGCTACTCTACCCAGGGTAACAGAATAAGACTCCATCTGACAGAAGTCCCTTACGCTGCAGTAGACACGGTGGCGGGGTGGGGTGGGGAGGGAGACAGTAAAATATTCATTACACAAACTAGCACTGGGGAACAGACGATGCATGGGGCATAGCACTGCCTAAAAGGACTCAGAGACTGGAAGAGGTGAGGGGGGTTGCAGATCAGAACAGAAGGGTCTGGCTCGGCGCCTATAGCTCAACCGGCTAAGGCGCCAGCCACGTACACCTAAGGTGGCGGGTTCGAATCCCCAGCCTGGACCCGCCAAACAACAATGACGGCTGCAACCAAAAAATACCCGGGCGTTGTGGCGGGCGCCTGTGGTCCCAGCTACTTGGGAGGCTGAGGCAGGAGACTCGCTTGAGCCCAGGAGTTGGAGGTTGCTATGAGCTGTGATGCCATGGCACTCTACCCAGGGGGATAGCTTGAGGCTCCGTTCTCAAAAAAAAAAAAAAAAGAACAGAAGGGTCTAAATTAGGGGTTAGCCCAGTCTCCTACCAGCCTACACCCTCTCCCCACCATAACCCTCATCCTGCCTCAGGCCCAGGATCCTGTGGCCAGGCAAGGTTGAAGGCTGCCCAAGAGGCAGGGGACCTGCACCCCTGACCACTACCTGGCTAGTCTCTGGACTAATCTCTCCCAGGAGAATTGAGTACCCAGCCCATTCATTCATTCCACAAATGTTCGCTGCTCTGAGCCTGGGCTGTGCCACTGTGCCTAGTGAGCAAACGCTGAGGCTGAGCAAAAACAGACTTTCTGGACTTCCCAGGGCCATCAGGAAGGGGATCAGAATTCAAATGGTCACAGACACAGGGCAATAAGACAGCTGGGACCAGGTGCAATGGCTCATACCTGTAATCCTAGCACTCTGGGAAACCGAGGTGGGAGGATCCCTTGAGCTCAGAAATTTAAGACCAGCTGAGCAAGAATGAGACCCCAGCTCTACTAAAAATAGAAAAATTAGGCGTTGTGGTGGACTGTATTCCCAGCCACTCGAGAGGCTCTGAGGGAGGGCTTAATCTATGACTAGGGAAGAGACCTCAATCTCTGCATCCCAAGGAGACTTTGATTGAGCAAAGGGGAGAGGTTAACGACAGCCTGCCAAGAGGTCAATGTGGCTAAAGGAGGATGAGGTAGAGCCCAGGCCACAATGCAAGCCAGGGTCCTTGGAGGCCACAGGGAAGTTCAACCCTGATCCTCCTTCGTCCCTTGGGAAGCCAGTGAAAGGGTCACTAATCTGAGGTGGGCAGTACAGAGGCTCATGCCTATAATCCCAACACTTTGAGAGGCTGAGGCGGGTGGACTATCTGAGCTCACAGTTGGAGACTAGCCTGAGCAAGAGTGAGACCCTGTCTCTAAAAACAGCCAGGCTTATAGTCCCAGCTACTCTTGAGGCTGAGGCAAGAGAATCGCTTGAGCCCAGGAATTTGAGGGTGCTGTGAGCTATGACTCCAGGGCACTCTACCAAGGGTGACAAAGTGAAAATCTGTCTCAAAAAAAAAAAAAAATCTGAGGTGGGTGGGGAAGGGCAGGGCCTGAGAGAGAAGGTCCAAGCTGGAGGCTACCACAGAGTCCAGGCAAGAGATGATGGTGGTGTCACCTAAAGAAAAAAAATCAGCCTTTTAAGACTTACAGTTAGTTTTGCTCAGAGTCTTACTGAGAGTTGCAACCCAGGAGAGTCTTAGACTATGCCAAAGAGTGTTCCAGCCCCAAGCTTATAGATCTGTAACAGAAGGTCTGCGTGTGCTCAGAAGTTACATTGGAGCAAAATCTCACCAAAGTTTGGTTACAGACTACAGGGGCTGGGAGCCGAATTGGATACAGTGCTGAACACAGGGCTGAAGGCAGGGAAGCCTGGGCATTGGAAGGCTGGTGGGACCACTCCTGGACTGGGGACCACCTGGCGGGCCAGGTCTGGGTGAGGGTTAGCAAGTTGTGAATTTCGACTTGGATAGTTGTTGAATCATATCCACTTTGGAGACATTTGTAGGGCACATGGGCCAGTCAGAACTGAAAGAAATGCGGGTTATGGAAGCCAGCCCCAGCCCCAAGTATGCGGGTACGAGAAGGAGGAGACAGCCTATGGAGCCCCAGAGGCCCGCTGGAGAGGCAGGAGGAAAACCAGGCCCCGGAGGGAGTCCTGGTAGCTGGGAGAAACCAGTTTTGGGTGATACCTTGGGAGGTTTGGTTTCCCCCACTGTGCAATGGGGTAGCACAGCCACCTAGGCCAACTCGCTGCCTTGAATGAGAACCCGACGTGAGGGAGGTGGCAGTGCTTGGGACAGATGCGAGGACCGCTCTGCGAGTGCCTCCTCCCCCAGGCCTCTCCCAGAGGAGGGTCGGAGGGAGCCCCGAGGGCGCGGCGCGGAGGCCTGCGAGGAACGCTCGCTTTAGGACCCAGCGGATCCGGGGCTAGAGGGCGGGCGCCGACCCGTCGGGGGCCCGGAGTGGGGGGGCTCGGAGCGGGCACAGGGGCGGCTCTGGCGGTGGATTCGGAACGGGCGGCGAAGTGACCCGGACAGGTAGGCGCGGGCCTGGCGCTGGGGGTGCCTGGGGCAAGGGCAGAGGAGTCAGCAGAGCCCCAGGAGCGGGGTTGCTGGCCCCTACGGACCCTCTATCCTGGGGACCCCAAACCCTCGCCTGCCGAAAGGGCACTTGGAAAGTTTGGGGTCGCTTTGGGGGCAGGACATGAGGTGGGAAGGACAGGGAGCGCGAGTTTGCAGGGAGCCAGAGGTGGGGGTGTCAGGGGATGGGAATAGCTTTTGTTCTCCCGGGGAGGCTGGAATGTGGCGGGTGGGGTAGGGGTCTGGTGGAAGCCACCAAGACAGAGACTCAGAGAGACAAAGATCAGAGATGAGGAGCAAGTTTCCGGGTTGATTATTCCCAGCTGTAGCCGCAACATCTGGTTTCCTCCTACAGGGACACCCCCTCCCGGCCTCTGGAACAGGCAGAGCCCTCCCTCTGTCTGAGCCAGCATGGGGGCCCCTTGTCCTCTTCCTCCCTGGGATGCAGAGGAGGGGAGGGAGGCAGTTGTGAAAGGGGCCAGAGGTTGGAGGCAGACTCCTGCACAGGTCCTGGCCTCCCCAAACCCCAAGCCCCCTTTATAGAAGTACTTGGAGGTGGGGCCCCGGTCCCAGTTATCCCACAATGACTCCTCTCTGCAGCCCCGGCCCCTCAGGCCTCTTTCCCCCAGTAAGCCTGGGCCTGAGTGCCAGCCCTTCTATGGGAGGGGGATTCCATGGCAGGCAGTCAGAGGCAACCTCTTGAAGCCCCACAGGCCTAGCTGACCATGGTGGGGGAGTGGGGGCAGAGGGGCACAGTGAGGAAGGGGCTCTCCAGGCCCCCTACCATGAGGAGGCCCAGGCTGGGAGATATGGGGAACCAGATGCCTGCCTCTGGGGCAGCTTGAGTCATGGGTCTCTGCTCCCCCACCCTGAGGTGCTGGATGCATGAGGTGGCAGAGGTCAGGGAAGTCTCAGTAGTGGGAGAACTGGGGTGGGGAAAGCTGGCCATGTTTCTGCCCCTTTCCTGCCCTTCTCCTGGATTCTCAGGGGGAAATAGAGCAAAGTCAGGGTTTCCAGTTAGCTGTCTGGAAGAACTTCCCTGCTGGATGACAAACCCTGTGGACTCTGTCACCACAGCCATCCCCACAGAAGGCTGGCGGCCTTGAGGTTGCCTCCACGGAGCTGGGACTGACGTGAGGACCTGGAGGCACTGCCAAGTCCCCTGTGTAGCCAAGACTGAAGGCTGGACTCCACCCAGGGGGTGGGAGGGTTTGAATATCAAGAACCTGGAGAAAACTATGCACCAGTGCCCTCTCCAAAAAAATTACACACACATCGCTTGTCCTGCAATGTCAGGGTGTTCAGAATGCCTGGGCTAGTGACATCATGGCCCCCTCCGGCTGCCTGTCTAGGATCTAGAGGAGCCCCTCCGTCCCCAGGCTCCACTCTAAGTGCTTCCTGCTCCTGCAGACAAACAGACCTCAGGTTTGTGAGTCTGTGATGGAGGCAGCCAGGTCTTGGGAGGCCTGGAGGCCTGGCAGGAAAGGAGTCTTCTGGGGGCCGGGAGCCCAGCCCAGCCTGGTTGCTCTGTGGGCCCCTGAGCCAGTGTGCATGTGGTTTCCTGCCCAGCTCGATGCTCTGCCTAGTGCAGTGCTCCAGGCCCAGGGGCTAATTGGGAGCAGCTGGTGGGCTTGGCCGAGCCTGAGGCCTCTGAAGCTGTCATGTTGACTGGGCAGAGCTGCAGTCCCAAGGATGGGCCTGGGGTCAGGGACTCATATAGTCAGTGCACTGGACACCCAGGGAGGTACCAGGCCAGAGCTGTAGGCATGGGTGTGGGTGAGGAGAGAACGGACTGGCGGAGCATTAGAAATGTCCCTTCCAGAATCAGGGCAGGGTAGGGTCTGTTTGTCACGATCAGTCCTGGAGCCAGGTTGGAGGCCCTTGTGCCTTATAACCCAAACACCCCTGTGGGACAGCTGTCCCTCCAAAGTAGTCTCCACCCCCAGGGCCCCAGCCCTCCAGATGCCTGGCTCCTGTTCTGGGGGCCTTGCTTCTCCAGGCTGAACTCAGGGGACCAGAACTGAGCTCTGCAGCCCTGGATGCAACTCCCCTGTTCCTCTTCCCCAGCTGTCCTCTGACAACACCTCAGCCTGCCTCTCTCCGTGGCCATGAGAACTGCCTACCTCCTCCTGCTCTTCCTGCCTGGTAGGTGACTCCCAGGACAGTGGGTAGCTCCCCTCGTGTAGGGTGGGAGTAGGGTTCATGGAGAAGAGCTCACAGTGAACCTCAGTCATGCCCTGTGGCCACACTCCACCCCTCAACACCCAAGGCCACCTGCCTGGACACCGGGCATCTACTGGGCCATCCTCCCACTTTTCACAGCAGCAGCAGGCAGTCTGGAGAGTGGGCACACCCCAGGCATTCATGCTTTTCCTCTTATTGGGCACTGATGTGCAGGAGCAGGGGGCACTCAAGGTGGGGAGTTCAGAGGCTTGGGTTTGAGACCACTTTGGGGCCCTACCGCCCTATACAGTCTTCACCCTGCAGGGGTCCCTATTGGCCAGACGAGGTATCAGTGGGGATCACAAAGGTCCCCCATGTTTAACATCCATTCATTCATTCATGCAGGCTCTGGCTAGGCACTGGGGAGGCCCTAGGGATAGAGCAAGGAAATAGGCAAACAATTCCCTGCCCTCCTTATGCTGCCAGTCTAGGGGAGGGAGGCAGAGTAGACATGATGTGATGCATTTCAGAGCATGTTGAGCACTGGGTGGGTGGAAAGAAACAGGCAGATGGTGGGCCAGGGATGGCCTCCCTGCAGAGTTGTGATTTCAATTAAAACCTGAAGGAGAAGCTGACTAGGTGTCATAGGCCAGGGAGCATCAAGTGCAAAGGCCCAGGGGCAGGCAGGAGTATGTTGACCCTTAGGGGCAGCCAGTGAGGAACAAGGCCGGGTGAGGTCAGGGTGCTACTGCCAGACCAGGGTGACCTTCACTTCACTTCCCCCAAAATGCTCCTGTTATCCTTCCTTGGGGCACCCCCACATGTCTTGCCTCCCCACAGCAGGCCTGCTGGCTCAGGGCCAGTATGACCTGGACCCGCTGCCACCGTTCCCTGACCATGTCCAGTACCCGCACTACAGTGACCAGATTGGTAAGGACCTTCCACCCCAGGTCTCCGCCCACCCTGCCATGTCATCCAGGCCTAACTCCCCAGTATGCCATGATGGGGAGGGCAGGTTGGAGGGAATCCTGGGGGTGGGTCCCTGGCTCAGTTCTGACCTCATTTGCCCCTGGGGCTAGGGGCTGGCTTGACTCCCCACCAATTCCACTTTCAACTTTGTTTGCAGACAATCCAGACTACTATGATTATCAAGGTAAAGGGATTGGCAGCTGGGGTGGAGGAGCCCACGGTCCCTGGGAGGGGAAGCAGGAAAGGAGGAGGTAACCTCTATACACTCACTCCCCTAGTTGCAGAGGTAACTTCTCGACCCTCTGAGGAGCAGTTCCAGTTCCAGTCCCAGCAGCAAGTCCAACAGGAAGTCATCCCAGCCCCAACCCCAGGTAGGCCACAACCCCTGCTATCACCTCTCCCCCACCTCCTTGTTAACCCTGGAAGTGGAGGCCCATGCTAGGGCTGGGCATTAGACTCTCTCAGTGATCTTACCCGACTCTCTCTCCCCCTCCCTCTCTTTCCACCAGAACCAGGAAATGCAGAGACTGAGCCCACAGAGCCTGGGCCTCTTGGTAAGTGCATTCCTGATGGCTGGAGAAAGGGAGGCACAGCCCTAGCCTCTGAAGTTGGGGTGAAGTAGGGGGTGGCACTGGTAGGACAATGGCCCTTGCCCTTGCTGGCATAGGTAGTACAGGCTACCATTGATAATGGGGGGTGTGCAGGGAGCTGCAGGCTGGCATCTCCGCTCTGGGAGATCTGGCCTGCCTCTGGCTGAGTTGGCTGCAACCTAGGGAGGCCCCTCTCCTCAGACAGTGGGGAGGATGTGTGCTAGCACATCCCACCAATCAGAGTGGGTACAATGTGCGTGTACAAGAGAACACCTGTGCTTACCCTTGTGTGGGTTGGTAAGGGTTACTGCGTGGGCTCCTATGAGCATGTGAGAATCTGCTCGTGAGTGGGTGTGGCTTTCTTGACCATACATGGGTGGTTGGAGAATTTGTATGTGCTTCTAAGTGTGGTTGGGAATCAGCATACTGTATAAAATCAGGCATCCCCAGGAGGTCCGACAGTGCTGTGTACACGTGTAGGGTATGTGAGGGTGGGTGTCTGGGTTGGGCTTGAGGGTACAGAGGGGACCTACACCCTGAAAGCCAGTCTCAGGTAGGTGAGGTGGGGGGCTGCCCCCCAGCTCTAGGCCCCTAGTCTGATCCTGCCTGTCACCCAGACTGCCGCGAGGAGCAGTACCCGTGCACCCGGCTCTACTCTATACACAAGCCTTGCAAACAGTGTCTCAACGAGGTGTGCTTCTACAGGTGAGCACAGGTGGGCAGCCATCAGGAGGACTCTGGGGAGGATTCAGGATGGCCATGGGGGTAAGGGATGGCTCTGGCCTACTGAGGTAGTTTGGGGAAAGAATCCAGAAGTGGAGCTCAGCTCTGTGGCAGAGCTTAGGCATAGAACCCTGACTCCCTGGCTCCGATGCCAGGTTCTATGTAGGCTGTGCCAGTGGGGGTGGGCAAAGAGGGGCCTGAGACTTCTCCTGGCCTCATCCCCCCCCAGCCTCCGCCGTGTGTACGTGGTCAACAAGGAGATCTGTGTCCGCACAGTCTGTGCTCACGAGGAGCTCCTCCGAGGTAGGAAGGCCCCATCCCCTAGGTGTCCCCCGCCCCACACCCTCCTCGTTATCTGGCCAACCATCGACCCATGTGATGCTTATTAAACGCAAACATGCCGCGTATCCACTACTTTACATCCTCAGAACCAGCCCCCAACCACAGCGGGGAGGGGGTAGTGGTGCCCATCACCCAGCCCCACGCTGACCCCGCCTCCTTCCTGCCCTGCCAACAGCTGACCTGTGTCGGGACAAGTTCTCCAAATGTGGTGTGATGGCCACCAGCGGCTTGTGCCAATCCGTGGCAGCCTCCTGTGCCAGGAGCTGCGGGGGTTGCTAGGCTGGAGCTGGCTTTCTGAGCCCTGGCCCTCCTCAGCTCTGGGGGCTTTCAGGCCCCACCTGACCTGGTGCTTTTCTCCCCATCCTGATGATGTTCCTTTTACTCTGTAAAGTTAGTGGACTGCAGCCCCGGGCGTGTGTGCTGTAGTGCTTCAGGCTCCACCCCAGCCTGTGGCCACACCTGGGTCATGACAGGAGTTCCCCACTGTCCAGTCTCTGCCCCCTTGGTGGGGGACACCTCAGGCCTCTTTGTGGAACCTGGGCCCCTGGGGCCTTCGCAGCCCCTCTGAGGATAGACAGTTCCCCTTTTTACAGTCCCCCAGGTGAGGGGCTATGCCCCTCACCCCAGCTGGTCTGCTTGGATTTCCTACAGCCCCCCTGGGCATGGACCTCCTTTATTTTATACAAAATTAAAAACAAGTTTTTACAAAAGATCCAGAGTCACTTTTTCAGTTGAGAGCACAAAGAGGGCAGCCATGTGCCTCCAACACCGCTTGTCCCCACTGAGAGGTTCCCCAAAACTCTGGAGAGCAAGGGCTATCCGTGTGCCTGTGGCTCCTACAGTCCCAACCTTTGCCCCCCTCCCACGTCAGCTCTGCCCTGCCCAGAGGCATGAGCTGTGACAGTGTGCACATGTGCATGGGGTTGTGTGGGAAATGGTAAATTTTAGAGAAGCAGTGTTCTTATCAGGGCTGCTTGGGGAGGGCGTGAGGACTCAAGTGATGGGAGGCTGGGGGTCAGGAAGTCAGGTCCAGGTGGATAGACTCTGAGATCCAGAGTTTTTTATGGGGTGGAGCCAGGAGGTTGGTGCAGGTAAGAGGGCAAAAAATGGAGCAAGCGGTTAGAACTCCTCCCTCTGAGCAGCACGTGGGACCAGGCTCCGTGTGAGTGCTCAGCATACTGTCCTGTTTCACCCTGCAAACAGGCAGATGTGCTGGGCACAGTTCATGTCCCATCCACAGAGACACAGTCCACCACTGTGAGTAGCAGAGCCATGGCAGAATCTGCCTGTTGGATTCCAATGGATGATGAACATAAGTCCTCCTTCAAACTCTGATAGGGCACCACCCATCCAAAGGGTGGGCTTAGATCTGAGGAGGGGCCAAGGAAGGGCAAGGAAACTTGGGTTGCAAAGAGCTAAGCTGTACGGACTGGGTGACAGCCCCCAGCCTCAACAGCCCCATCTGTTAAGGGGGGTGGATCCCAGCAGCCCACCCTGACATCCTGTGAGGTTGGCAAGGTGCCGACCCCCCACAGCCCTCTGTCTCCCCCGTCTCCCTGAGCACCCTACCCTAGAAGGCCATATCCCTTCTGGCCAGGCCCTACCTGTCTTCCCTCCCATCTCCTTCCAGGTGGAGGGCACACTAATAGCACCGAAAAGGGACACATCTGTACAAACCTACAAACCAGTTTTAGAAAATGGAGTCTTATTACAAAAAACAATAATTCTTAACAGTTAACATTGTAAAAAGGTATAAAAATACAGGGACTCTGAGTTCTCTGAACAATTTCCTAATAAACACTCTCAACTAAAGTGGAGAGATCTCTGGGGAGTAAAGACAACCTGGACTCCTTCCTCTTTCTCATGGGCCCATGCTCCAGGGCCTACCAGAGACAACGGCTCTCCCCAAACCCTGGCTTTAGCTCAGCCATTCTCAGGGAGGACCCTGTACAATCTAGAGTCCAGGAGGGAGAGGGGGCTGGATTGAGGGGGGGCCCTGAAGATGCCAGAAAGCTACTGCTTGGCCTAGTCTGGAGCTGGAGTTCCCCTCCTCGCTCCCATCCCAGTTCTGAGACCCCTGATGGCCAGGCCCCAGGTGGATTGTGCTGGACAGAACACCCCTCTCCTGCTCTAGGCATGGGGCTGTTCTCCAGATGCCAGCGGGAAGGGGCTCATTTCTCTGGGGGGCCAGAGAGTGGGGAGAAGGGTGCTGAGCTCCTTCGAAGCTCCTGCTGCAACTGTCCCTTCAGTGTGGACACCTGGGGGAGAAAGAGAAGGTAAGGCCAATCCAGGTCCCCAGCCTGACCTCAGAGAAGATCTATGCATCTAACCTGATGCACAGATCTTCAACGGCAGCCAGGGACCCTAAGGACTCAATGTGCCTGTGTTAGGAAAGGTCTGGTCTTACTAAGACCCAGGGGGTATCTTTCCCTTCTCATTTTCCTCTTTACAGCAGTTAGGTGTCTTCTGAGTACTCAGCATCACTGGGGACCACCTCACCAACATCCTGTATCCCATCATCTGGGTAGGCCTGGCTCTAGCCTAGACTCAAGTAGACATGTGACCCAGGCCTAGCCCATCAAGCAGCCTTGCCCTACAGAGGTGGCTTTTCAGGCACATTCAGGAAGGGGCATGTGATCTAAGTAGACCCCAGGGGCACTCTCAGGAGGATGGCGCCCCCTTCCTCTAGGATTATAGGTGGCTGGAAGGAACAGTCTGGAGCTGCAGAGGCCACCCTGAGCATGGAGCCAGAGGACAGCAGAGCTGGGGCCAGCGGGACTTGAGCTTCTGGTCTGGTCACAGCCACAGCCCAGTGCAGTAAGGGGAGCCATGGACTAGTTACACTGAAGTCCTATTCCTCCAGCCCCACACTTCCATCCCAGCCCTAGCCCCCCAGGGGGCCTGCCCACCTGCTCCTCCAGCCCACGCACCCTCTGGCGGTGGGCCCGCTCCCGGGCCTCCAGGGTGCGCTCAGTCTGCACCTGGGCACTGCGCAGGCGTTCCACCTCCTGCTGTAGCTCCTGTCGCTGCTGCTCATCTGCCTCCAGCTGGGCTGGGCTGGGGTTCTGCTCCAGAGCCACTACCTGGGCCTGCAGGGAGCAATTACCATCAGGGTCCTAGCCCTGTGCGGATGTGTATGTGTGAGTGTATGCATGCGACAGGGCGTCAGATGTCAGGCACCTCCCTGGGGCACAGCCAGCACAGGTGGAGGATGTAAGAAAGAGCCTTCCTTGTCTCCCATCTCACTCCCAACAGTGTGCCTGTGAATCTTGGGTCGGAGTACCCAGTGACCCTCACTCAGACAGGTGCACATGTGCGCAAACATACAGGCAGATGGACTCCAATGGTATAAACACAGGCACAAAGGCAAGCATGTAAAGCCCAGCACTCCTACACTTCTACATAAAAACATCTGTACACAAACACATACACTCATAATCTCTAGACACACCACACTGTGCACAAGATTGATTCATGCTAGTGCACAGGCTCACATGGACACTCACACCGCTACACATGCACAACGTACGTGACCCCACAGGCCCACATGTTAACAGGCCTTTAGTGTCTTTTCTGTACATCTTGGGGGAAACTCCCGCCTTGGCCTAGCTGGGACACTCTCTAAGGCTTCAGTTCCTAGGTGGCGGGGCTGCCTGGGACTCCTTAGCACTCAGGCTGGGGGTGGAGTTGGGGTCCTGAACTGGGTACCCGGGCGGGGCCAGACCTCCAGCTGTTGGATCTGCCTCTGAGCCTCAGCCAGCTCCTGCTCAGCCCCTGAGAGCGTGCGGTCCAGGCGGCCCTTCTCTGCACTCAGACGCATGGTGTCTTCATGGCTGCGAAGCTTCTCCCGCTCTACCTGGGCAGGTATAACAGGAAGGGGTCAGAGTGCTAGGAAGGGACTCCCAGAGGGGTCTCAGGGTTGCAAAGTGAAGTGGAATAACCTAACACTGGCTGAGGCAGCAGACTCTGGGGACATGCAGCCAGGACAGTGGCCCACCTTGTCCAGTGTCCTCCTGAGGGCCACGCGGTCCTTCTCCAGCCGTAGGGCTGAGCGCTCCACCTCCCGCTTCTCGGCTTCCAGCTGAGCCAGAGCACGTTGCAGGCTGCCCAGACGCTCTTGCAGCAGCCGCCGCTCATCCTGCAGCTTCTGAACTGTGTGCAGAGCCAAGGTCTCGGCCTCTTGATGCTGCCGCAGCACCTGCAACAGAAACCAGGCAGGATCCCTGTAGGCCTCAGTGGGATGATGACACCACTGGCCTGCTGTGTCCACTCACTCAGTAGGCAATTGTGAGGCCCACAGCAGAGAACTGTTACCCAAGGCTAGCCAGTTCTCCCTGAGCCTCAGTTTCTCCATGCGTCCTCCCTGGAGGTTGAGCCAGGATTTTTTTTTTGCGGTTTTTGGCAGGAGCTGGGTTTGAACCTGCCACCTCTGGCATATGGGGTCAGCGCCCTACTCCTCTGAGCCACAGGCGCTGCCTTGGTTGAGCCAGGATTTGACATAAGGTTGAGACAGATGCGAAGGTCCCCTCCCCATCCCAGGGACTCACAGACCTAGGGAGAGACAGGGCCCACCATGGCCCTCACCTCCCTCAGCTGCTGCAGCTGGCCCTCAGCCTCCGTCCGCTGCAGCTCCAGGTCTGCCAGGTCGCCCCGCAACATCTGCACCTGCTCACTCAGGGAGCTGCTCTGCTTCCGGGCCTCAGATAACGCCTGCCGGGCAGCATCCAGCCGTTCCTGGGGGACAGGGGCCAATGGAGCTATGCCATCCACAGAGCCCTCAGGCAAAAGGCTCCCCTCTACTCTGCCTTCAGACAGGTTCACAGCCCACGAAATATTGAGTCATCTCACTGGGTGAACCCTGCAACAAGCCTGGTCCACTGACCTGCGTAAGTTGGAGGCCATCCAGACCCTAACTCTCCCCATTAACTCTGCACCTGGATGCCCCCAAACCTACACTGGTGGGCTTATTCTCTTATTAGGCACAGCCCCCCCAGAGCCTCCACTCATTGGCTAATGCTCTACTACTAAGTCTGTTTTTGTTGGCTGACTTTCTAACTGGACCCACCCTCAGCCAGACCCTGGAGCTCCCCCATACCTGCAGCACATGACGGTCATGTTCACAGGCAGTCAGGGCCTTCTGTAGATGCAGATTCTTGTCCTGGGTGCTGGTGAGGCTGGTGTTGCTCTGGGCCAGAGCCTGTGTCAGGCTCTGCACCTTGTCCCGCAGAGTACCCTCGCTTTCTTCCACCTTGGCCAGGGCTCCGCTCAGCCGATCCACTGTCAACTGCAGGGTCCCCGCCTTTACCTCACTGTCTGCTACCTGGCAGGAGCAGAGACAGGACAGTCAAGGGCCTCTGTTCCCTTCTGGTCTCTGTACATCTGCTCCCACTGTCTCCCCCACTTGGTATGCCCAACCCAACCCCTTCCCATCTTTGGGATTCCATCACACATCTCCATTCTTCCATGCATTCCCGCTGGCTCAGCCTCCCATAACCTGGGCCCACATTACACTGCCAGTTAACTACACTCTCCTAGAACACCAACAACCTGGTTGTCTCAGATTCCATGGTCTCTTCTCTGCCCTCATTCCCTCTCCTCCCTGCTATGGAAGAGAAAGGGCAGCCACGACAACCTTGAAGTTTTCTGTGTTTTTGACTTTGGGGGGTGTCCATGCAGAGCTAGTGGACTTACTAAACATTCCAATTAGAGC